ATGTACTCCCAGGATGCCATCATGGACGCCATCGCTGGGCAGGCCCAGGCCCAGGGCAGTGACTTCAGTGGGTAAGCGCCTCCCTCCTCCTCCACCACTCAGCGCCTCCAGAGCCCGAGGGGTCTGGGCCACTGGGCGCCATCGGGACCAGCTTTCTTCCTTCACATTGGACCTCCTGGGGGCATGGCCCTTGGAGGGGAGCCAGCCTTCAGCGGGGTCTTCTGGAACGTGGGTATCCTCTCTTCAGACCCTCTCCATGGTCAGCTTTAGGAGAAGGGTGGAGAAGTGCAGAAAATGGTGGCTTCTCAAAGTGCTTTTCACAGCCTCTGCATTTTCGCAGGCTCCTTGAGGAGGCTGGCTTAAGAAGAGACTTCTACAGTCCTCTTAACAAGGGGACCATCCTGGAGGCCCCCAGGCCTCTCACAGCGAAGCTGTCCTTTAAGGAGGGGGACGTTGCCAGGTTCTTCCAGCGCTGAGAATTGATTCAAACACACTGGCTGGGTTTCTGGTTTTGGAAGGGGTCTGCGACCAGCTATCCACAGTACTGCTGGCGATCAGTCCCACTAATGGGAGCAATCCCCTCCTCTTTGCCCCAGGAAGCCCGGCCTCAGGGCAGTGGCATTTAAGACATCCTTGGTTTCTGGAGTTCGCCCATTAGCTATGGTTGGGGAATTCGAGGTTTGGTAAAGAAAGAGTTGGCTGAAAATCATTTGTGGATGAAAAATGCCAGCAATGCAAACATTCATGCAGACAGACCTCTCTCTGTGTGTCTCCATGTCTCCCTCTCTGTGTCTCTGTGTCTCCCTTTCTCTGCGTGTCTCTGTATCTCCCTCTATCTGTATGTCTCTTTCTGTCTTCCTCCTTGTTGCTCTCTTTTTCTCTCTCTCTCTCCCTTTCCCTCTCTTTCTTTCTCTCTCTCTCTCTCGTGTGTGTGTGTGTGTGTGTGTGTCTGTCTGTCTGTCTATCTGTTGTTTCTTTCTTACACACATACACACAGTTCCTCACTGTTTTCTACTTGGGAATACCACTGTATTGGCTGATTCTCAATCTGGGCAACATCTTATCCCTGGGTCAGGATAAGAATTGCAGGATCCCCAAGCAATTCAAGGCAAAAAGTCTTGAAATGACAGCGATGTTTTTTTTTCCAAAGCCAGGAAAACAGATGTAATAAGAGGGATGGAGGGATTAAAAAGTCCCAGAGAACCCAGTTTCACTTGGCCATTCCAGACCCCAGCCCTTGTGGCGGTGATATGCATGCAGGTTATAAAGGGCAGGCTCCCCAGCCCCAAGGGTGGAACAGTGTAGGCTCCCTAGGCTCTGCTGGAACTGAGGAGCCTGGGACCCTCTTGGAGATGCAGTACTTCCTCTAGGCCACCAGGGGGCAGAGGTCACCTGTCCTAGAGCTTCAAGTCAAACTACCAAGGCTCAGAGCTGCTGCTCTTGGAGTAATTCTGGGCAAGGTTGATTGAATTCCATCATTCAAAGCAGAAAATATGACCATGCAAGTTTAAAAACACAAGCATTAGCTCATGCGTACCCAGAAAAACAAGGTTGCCTAAGCCCAAGAGCTAACAGGGATTTCCTGTTAGCATTTCTTTGTCATGTGTGTCTTTGGTGTGCTCTTAAAAGTAGTAGCAATGGCCAAAGGGAAGTTCAATGGAAAATAATGGAAGAACTGCTCTTCACTAACTTTCTGTTTCCTGCACGTTGGGAAAACTGCTATCATTTGATCTCACCACTAGGGCATCCATCAGTTTTGGAACTGATGCACTGTTGATTAATCGAGGCTTCTTGAAGGACCTTTCCCATCTCCCTCCTGTCCCCTCCCGTCCCCTCCCTGTTCTTCCCTTGGTATGCCTGGAGAGGGTCCTCTTCTCCTCTTCCTTTTAATGCAGCCACGCTGAGCTGACCATGCCGTGGTGCCAGTGAGTAACCCTCTTGGCCATAACGTGCTCCCGTTTCTGCTGTTAATTTCCATGGTTCCTTCCTCACTGACCGTGTTTTTTCTCTTTTTCTTCCTCCTTCACCCACCCCATTCCAATAACTCATTTCTGACCCTAACCCGGCTCTCTTGTGTGCGCTGCCCCTCTGCTATCCCATGATGGACGCGCACTCACGGCTGGGTTTTCCTCTGCTTGGCAGGGCGTCACCGCTGGCGTAAGTAGACTCCGCAGTGTCTGTCCCGTCATCCGTCTGTCTGATTGTGGGATGGTGTGTGGGTTTGGTGGGATGTGTCTGAGGACCAGTGGTCAGCCCACGTGCTCTGTCCACGCTCCTCCTCACACCCACCTGTCAGCCAAACGACATCCCTTGCAGCCTTTCCAGGCAAGTAGTTGTCTCTTGGGATTTATCCAAATAATGTCACTGTGGTCACAGAAATCACAGAGTAATGACACTCACGCTGCAGGCCCAGGCTGGGGTACATACCTGTGTTCTTCTTGCCATGCTTTGGGGTGGCTCCCCCTGCCTTTCCTATCTGCACTGGGACAGTGTAGACCCGGACGTTAGAATCCACACCGGGCCATTATTCAGGGCTAGAAGGTGACAAGGTGACAAGGTAACCTCTTGGAGGCCACTCCCCAGAATCTGCATGGGAAGTGTATCTGCAGGAGCCAGTGCCTGCCATGACCACCCATGGGAGGGGAAGGATGAATCAGATTGGGGGCTGCACACAGTGAAGTAAATGCAGCGGTGACCTGATGCTGCGGTGACTGTGGAGCGTTTTCTGTGGCAAGAAGAACAAGCTGAAAGTGGGTCCAGAGAGTGGACTCAGGCCAAGGGCCCAGGACTGCAGGACCTGTTCCATCTTCTCTGCGTATATTCTCCCTGAGCCTTGGTGTCATGAAAGGCACAGCAGTTTCCTCATCTGACTGCCAGTCTTGGTCAGAGCAGCAACAAGAGTCCCTGGTCTTTGCATGGGGCGGTGGGAAATGAAGCCAGAAATGCTGAGTCCCAAGGGACTCACTCCCGGCAGCTTTCTTGAACCCTTGGAGCCAAGAAAGGCACAGGGGAGCTCATCCTGGGCACATTCCAGGAAAACAGCAGCAAACACCTTCCATCCACTTTCTGGATTGCAGAGCTCCGTAGAGAGGCTCAAGGGCCTTGCATCCACGCCTTCCCTCACCCACTGCACAGTTCACACTCCCTCCTTCCCTCCCCTCCCAGTGGGTGAGGAGCCAGTACCGGGGAGACCCGGTTGTGCCTTCCTGTTGCCCATCTCACTCAGACCTCAGGAACCCTTGGGACTCCTCCCTATACTAGAAATGGCCTGTCCCAGCAACAGGAAGATCCCACCCTCTCCTTTGCTCCCTGGGCAGCTGCAGGCTCCTCCCTGGCTGGACCCCAGAAGCCTCTGCTGGTCTTTCCCAGCTGATTCCAACCACAGGCTGCCAGTACCTATAGCTCTCTGGGCCAGGGCAGAGCCTTCAGGGAAGCCAGGGCAGCTCCACCCAAGCTCGATCACCTTTCCCCACCTCTGCTCTTGTAGCCCACCCTGAGCCAAACACAGGGACCAGTCCTGGGAGACTAGATCAGTTCCCTGTCGCACTCCTTGCAGGGAGGGTATAAGACATGGACAATGGGGAGGTTCCTCTTCCAGCCAGCCAGCCCTCTGGGGGAAAGGGAGAGGCAGGCAGGAGAGTGCTGGACAGAGCATCTCTCCAGGCATAGGTCCAGGGCCTCCTACTGGGCAGAAGTAGCCTTCCTGAGCCCTATGACTACAGGGAGCCTAATGCAAAGGACACAGGGCTAGCAGCCAGGAAACCTAGGTTCTTGCCCAATGGGACCCCTATCTGCTGTAACCTGGAGCTAATTGGCTGGCCTTTCTGGACCTCAGCTTTAGCATCTGTAAGAGGAGAGGGCTGGGCCAGCAGTCTGTTACTGTTGTGGGCTTCACCTGAGCCCTCCCACTCCTCTGAGAAGGTGGGCTGGGTGGCTTGGTCCTCTGGCCCCCTGGCCAGGGCAAGTGGGCTGTAAGGCTTTTGAACATGGCCTGCACTGCAGTCTGATTCAGGCTGGGAGGCACTGGACCTGAGGGGCTCTAGGGTTCCTTCTGGCTCTGATCTAGGATTTGTTTCTTCAGCCAAGAGTTTTGTGCACCTATCATGTGCCAGACCCTGGGAGCCTAAGGGAAGGTCACGTGGTCCCCCACAGAGGGCTGCGCTTCTCTGGGACAGAGGACCAGTGGCTTCCGTGCAGCCCCACTTCCAACTTCCCCAGGCCAGAAATCCCCTGTCCCTGCAGGCCATGCCAGGGCCGTGCCTCGCTGCCTTGTTTCTTACCAGCTCCCAGCACAGTCAGCCTACTGGCACTGAGCCCAGGGCCCCAGTCCTTTTCCAGGGCAGTGACAGCATTGGCAGCTCCTTGTTTGGATCCAAAAGTGTGAGGAGGGCAGCAGATGGACCCTGAGGAAGCCTCTGGGTCCCCGAATGGCCTCTCCCCAGCCAGCCCCAAACTCATGGCCTGCTCAAGGAGGTCAAAGAAGACCTGTTCTGTTTCCTCCCTCTGTAAAGGGGATCTGGGGGTGGGGATGTCTCTGCTGATGTCTCTGATGGAAACTGTGGCTCCCCAGTTTCCATCGGCGGTAGCTGAAATAGTGCCTCCCTCCCACAAGCCGAGCCTCTCATCTCAGAGTCCTTCTGACTTTGGAAAGGCGTTCCAGGGCCCTGATCACCCAAAAGGTCAGATCCACACTGGGCAGCCACATTAGGGATAGGGGTGGGGGCAAGGCCTAGGCTTGGAGTTAGCCCCGGGGAAGGGCAGACCTGAGGGATCTGAGCCTCCTGTCTCTCATGAGGGAGGGGAGTCACTGCTTCACTGTGACCAACCTGAGCACCGAGGACCCAGGTCATGCCCATATCTCAAGTTCTCAGACAGCAAGGGGTAAAGGCAAAGTGGGGACAGAACAATAGGGGCCACCAATGGGCATGGAGCAGGGACCCAGCAGGGTGGGAACTGGGCTCCAGCCTAGCCCTCGCCCACGGCCTCTCTCTGCATTGCAGGAGCCTCCCTATTAAGGACCTTGCCGTAGACAGCGCCTCTCCTGTCTACCAGGCTGTGATTAAGAACCAGAACAAGCCGGAAGATGAGGCTGACGAGTGGGCACGCCGCTCCTCCAACCTGCAGTCTCGCTCCTTCCGCATCCTGGCCCAGATGACAGGGACAGAATTCAGTGAGTGCAGGCTCTCGGGGTGGGTGCAGAGGAGGGAGATGCTGAGGGGCCACCGGGGGCCTGGGCTCAGCACTGCAGAAGCCAGGGAGTCCCGCTACCTGCCCTTGAAGGTGGGCCAGCCTTGATGGTTTGTCCGCGGCTGGCAGGGCTCCTTCTGGGCCCCTCGGGCAGGCTGTCTGGTGACAGCAGCCTTCTGCTCCAATGTCAACTCCAACAGTGAGCAGCAGGCTTGGTGTGCAACTTCCGGGTGAGATGACTGCCCAGGGCTGGGATGAGGCCCTCTCAGGCCACCCCCTGACCCTTTCCCAATGTCCTCTGCGGCCTCTGCCCAGCATACAGTGGACAGGCAAAGGGGTAGTCACCAAGTTGGGCCTGGCTGAATCCTGGGGACTCAGTGCCCACAGAGCCCCAGCAACTTTCCTTGCTGTGTCTCCTGTGAGTGCCCTGACCAGCTCCTTTCTACCCACAGTGCAAGACCCTGATGAAGAAGCTCTACGAAGGTCAAGGTAAGTGCCTGGACTCGGGCTCTGTGGCCTTGCCCTCTAGCCCCGTCCCTTCCCGGGCAGCCCCCAGGTCACATCACTTATGGAAGGAACCTCTCAAGTTCATGGATTTGGAAAGCCTGGCCTGCAAAGGGCTCCAGCTGACACTAGCTTGAGGCGGCATCCTGGGTCAGTGAGGCGGGCACCTGGACCCGAGTCTCTGTCCTCCAGGCCCAGGCTACAAGAGCGAAGGCTCTGGGCTCTCCCAACTTCATCCCTGGGCAGGGGCAGGGCTGCTTTGGCCTTTGCTGGGCTGTTGAGAATGAGGGCATCTTTCCCTGTGAGGACACCCGGCTGGCCACCTTGCCCACCCACTCATCTCAGGGCCTGTTCCCCTGTGATTCCAAAGGCTGGGCACTGGGAAACAGGCACTCAGGGGTCTGTGCTGGACACAAACGCCTGACCCCTGGACTCACCTGTCCAGACCCACGTTGAGGTACCAGTTCTGTAAATTGCTTAAAGCAAAATAGCTGCTGAAAAAAAGAACAAGCCCTGGACATGAGGACGGGTTTGTGCCAAGCTGGGGGTCTTAGAGCATGGTTTCCCCATCAGTTGCAGGTCTGCGGCCATAGCCACCAACCTACCATTGTGGCCCGTCAGGTGCTCATAGCATGAGGGGGCATGCCATCCTGGAACTCACTGGAACCCGCTAGGGCCTTCCACAGTGAGGAGCAGGGCTCATTGTGACTGTGTGGACACTTCCGGTAGCAAATATGTCATCCGCATGTTCTTCCTGGCACTGTCTGCCTTGGGCCAGTGCATCCTGTGGCAGCCTCTGTGCAAGGGGCTGGGGCTCAGGGCACCCTCCCACCCTGGGCCAAGCTTTCTGTACTTGCTAACCAGCAGGCCCAACCCTCAGTGGCCATGTGACCCGCGCAGAGTAAGACTCGAGCCAGCTTAGACTTGTGGATTTTATTTTTGAACCAACACTTTTGCCAACTCAAGTTGCTCTCACTTTTTGGCCAGGCATCCAAGTCTAAGGTGGGGTCGTGCCAGTCCTGCTAAGGATGGCATGCAGTCCCAATAACAGTTCTTAACCCTTCAGTGCCTGCAGGGCATCTAAAGAGCCCGCGATGAAGGGATGCTTGATTTAGCACAGAAGTTAAGCTCCAGCTACTTTAAGTCCTAGAACTCTCAGCTCTCCCCTCCTGCTGTGCTCCGCTGCCCCTGCGTGCTGCTCCCATGCTTGTCTTGCCCTCCTCTTAGAAGCCACCCATGTAGCTGCTTCAGTGAGCATTGCAGATGTTCCCAAACATTTGATAAAGGAGTCTTTAAATCACACACCCCAGAGCAAGCGGCTTCAAAATCCCCCGGGGTTCCTTCCAGCAAGAGGCCAGCAGGGGGCCTCTTTTCTCCCTCCCCTGGGACCCAGAGCCCCGCCCTCTCGGCTCCCTTCTGGTTCCTTAATGTTCTGCTTCCCTCTGGTATGCAGGCAGTCACGCTCAGCTTGTGCCTCATTAGCCAGATGTCTTTAGAACGGGAAAGAGTACTGTGGAAGTGCATTGCAGCAAACTTTTGTCTTTTCTTTCCCCTGGAATGTTTGCAGGCTCTGCAAAATTATTGAGTGAGGAGAGCACAAAGGCAGTGTTGAAGGGGGTCCCCAGGCCTCGTCCTTGGTCTTCCCCTTCCCTCCTTCAAGGAACATCTCTTGAAGTTTGTTCTGCCTGGTCTTGAGGGTAATTGAAGGGTGGGAGAGTAGTCCTTCTGCCAGCGGCCTAACCCCATGAAAGCTTGGTTCAGCCTCAGCAAAAGGCAGCCTTCGGAGCCTCTCCCCCAGCTACGGCAGGGTTTCATCCTAGGGAAATCTGGGAAATCCAGTTGACTTCCTCCCACCGTCCCAGGAAGCTTCCCTCACCCCATTAACACCTGTCTCTGGGGTCTCAGGCCCTGCAGTGGAGGCTCTGTGGCATCCAGCCAGCCTCTGCCTAGGTCTGGAGGGGGCTCCTCTCCCTTCTTCTGACTTTAATTTCTGGAGAGTTGTCCTCATGGGCAGAGCCACCCATGTCACTGAATCCCAAACAACTATCCCATGGACCCAGAGGCGGGTGCAGTGGGTGTAGCAGTTTTAATCTGTCTGTGATTGAAGCCTAAAGCAGTGTCTGTGATCACTGGTCATGGCTGGGGCCCCAGGCTCACCCACGTCACCGTCTGAGCAGAAGGGAAATGCTTTGTCCCACCCTGGTCCAGGCCGGTCAGGAGTCTTGCTCCTCAGGGGCCTGAGCCGCACTTCTATCTGTCCCCACTCCCAAGTTCGAAGCTGCACCCCTAGACTCTCCTGACCCATCTTATTGGCTGAGAGCAGCCACATTCTCTTTCTCCTCCCAAATCCCAGTGGGGATTCTCAGGGTCTGTCTTGAAGGCTGAGTTTCCCCAGGGAGGCTTCACTGTAAACTGCTTCCAAGTGTCTCACTCCAGCAGAGCCTGAGTTTGCCAAGCCTTTGCATGGTGACACCGACACAGTCTTATATCCGTGCAAACGTGCTTTCTCCTTCCTGGCGCTGTGTGGTGAGAAAGTTAGCGGGAATGTTGAGTGAGTAGGCAGGGGCTCTGGGACCTCAAGGTCAGGTGTGAATCCACATGTGAAGAAGACCTTGCAAACTTTCCCTTCACCTCCGTCACTGCTCTGCCTCCAAGGTCCACCCCCAGAGTCCCATGACAGCTCACAGCCCTCTTCTCCTCTCAGGTCCTGGCTCCGAATGGTATCTCTGTCTGGTAGCATGTAGCTTCCATCTGAGGCTCCAGTGCCAACCTGCTGGCCAGCCCAAGATAGAGTATAATTTCCAGGGACTCTATCTTTACGGGTGAGGTGGGAGAGGCCTGAACAGCCCAGGCATCAGCTATGAATTTAGCTTCCCACTCTAGAAGGACCCAGGCACCTTAAGAAATTGTCCAGGCTGACTTGAACATCAGCCTCCTGCCTACTTCCACATGGGAGCTACTCTAGTAGTTATAGGTGATGCTGTGGCTCCCCAGTTTCCATCGGAGGTAGCTGAAATAGTGCCTCCTTCCCACAAGCTGAGCCTCTAATCTCAGAGTCCTTCTGACTTTGGAAAGGCATTCCAGGGCCCTGATCACCCAAAAGGTCAGATCCACATTGGGCAGCCACATTAGGGATAGGGGTGGGGGCAAGGCAGGGCTTGGATCTGCAAGGCATCTGGATCCCACTGCTTGGGGGAACCATCCTGGATGTAGCCCAGCATGAAACCCAGACATCCCCCTGATCCCTTATAAGTGCAGCCTCTGCGTTTCCCTGATGCCCGCCTGGGTAAAGAGCTCTGCACCTCCCCATCCTTCCAAGCATTAGGAACAAAGCTGATCTTAGTGAAGAGTCCCTAGAGGAGCTGAAGGTGAGGGTTGCATCACACAGCCCTTTCCATCCCAGATCATGTAAAAATCCTTCCATGCCCCTTTTCCATCATGCAAACATTAAGCTTCTTCCAACAAAATGCCAGGGCTCACTGGCTCCGCTTCTTCCCTCCTGCAGCCTCAGACGCCCCCTTCCCTCCCTCCTCTGGGCAGTCTCTCAGTTTTGCCCCCACTGCAGCCACCTCGCTTACTTGCTGCACAGCACAGGGCCCTCCTGCCAATGGGTGCCCCCGCCAATGGGCCCCTTGTAAGAAAGCAATGAAAAAATTACCTCTCTTCTTTGGATTTTGAGTCCCTGGTGTTCTGCCACCCTAGCGAGTTTGAAAACCACAACTGGAGCACCAGGGATGTTGCCCCAGGTGCCACTGCCTAAGCAGCCCCTGGGGAGCTTTCTTTCTTGCTCTTGCTCTCCTGTCTCTTTTCCTCTTTCCTGTGCCTTCCTCTCCTGGCTCCTTTCCTTGGCTAGCTGAGGATTTTCAAACAGCTTCAAGTAGAGCATGCTCACTAGATCGGACTCTCCAGGGCTGTCCCTGTCCCTGTCCCTGTCACCAAGCACTGATGACAAACTATTACCCAGCCTCCACAGGCCTTGCTAGGACTTGACGATTTACAGGTTAACTGCCTGTGTCTGATCTTGTGCCCCTGTGTTCTGGGTAGTGTCTGTGGGATGGTCAGGACTGTTTGTAGTGCTGTCAGCAGGACTCAAGGAGCCCCGCCACACCACCTTTGCTCGTGCCATCTCCACCCCTTCACCCCAACCTCAGATAGGCAGGTATGTGGCAAGGGAAGAAGACGCCGGCACTTAGATTGTGATTCTGCCCCTGAGTTTCTGTGTGGCTTTAGGTCATTCATGTGACCTCTCTGGGCTTCAGCTTCCTCTTAGTATAAGGAAAGTTCAGACTAGACTGGTGGTTTTCAAATATGTTATATGTTAGCAGTGGGTCCCTTTTGTCAAACAGTCTTAGACAGAGACCCAGTATGCAGGATTCAAGGGGTAGAGAGAGAGAGAGACTGCTAGGTAAAGCACGTGCAGAACCGAGGACCTCTGTGAGTGTGCGGACGTGGGGGCCAGACCCGATGACTGTTACTGTGCAGAAATAGAAGGCCAGCACTGCCACATCTTCTTTTCAAAGACTTAAAGTTGCTCTTCCTGATTTTTATATGCTAGCAAATCACTTTTTTTTTTTTTTTTTTTTTTTTTTTTGAGATGGATTCTCACTCTGTCTCCAAGGCTGGAGGGCACTGGCGCAATCTCGGCTTACTACAACCTCCACCACCCAGGCTCAAGCGATTCTCCTGCCTCAGCCTCCTGAATAGCTGGGATTACAGGCGTGTGACACCATGCCTGGCTAATTCTGTATTGTTAGTAGAGACAGGGTTTCACCATATTGGCCAGGCTGGTCTTGAACTCCTGACCTCAAGTGATCCACCAGCCTCGGCCTCCCAAAGTCCTGGGATTATAGGTGTAAACCACTGTGCCTGGCCAACTTCTTTTTTTTCTTTTTCTTTTCTTTCTTTCTTTCCTTCTTTCTTTCTTTTTTTTTTTTTTTTTTTTTTTGAGACAGAGTCTCACTCTGTCACCCATGCTGGAGTGCAGT